TTTTGAGTCACATGGTTGCACACAACGCATAGACCCCTTGCATCGTTTTGTTACTGGGGGACAAAACAATGGAAATTTTTGCATAAGAAAAGACGGTCTATTGTTTTGTCCCCCAGAACAATTCCTCTAGGAAATCAGTGCAAGGGGTCTATAGAGTGCAAACAATATAACCGCGAAACTTTAGTAATACTAAATAGCACAATTTCATGCAAATTCCATTCCTATTGTTTAATTAGCACTATTTTGTACTATTTAGTCAATTAGTCTTTCACGGATTGTTTGCACTCTAGTAGGCGTTCACTTTAGGTATGGTGCTCCGCTCACACAGTTCTTCCACACGCGCGGGGAGCTCCGCTATAAGTTCCCTAATAAAATCAAAGTGCCCTTTGGCGAAGTCGTGGATACTAGCTGCACTTTTCAGACTTTGGGTTCACTGTGCCCTTCTTATGCTTGTTGACATTCGAAGCATTTCGCTTACCCTGGGCTCCAGGGTTCTATTTCGCTTCGGGTAGGTTTATGCGATCCCCGTCAAAACAGCTAACACTCAGGACCCCAAAAACAAATTGATTTAGATCAAGTAGAACAGACTATAGGTTTTTACGTTTTGTTAAGCCAAATTGTGCGCAAATATATTTCATTGATCCCCCCGCAACCCCCGTGCCCCAAGTCAATAGGGGACTTGCGCTATGAAAATCTACAACGGCGACGTCAACTGGAAGTGTAAATAACTTCTCTTTGGGCTCTGTTCATTGGATATTTCATTCAAAACACTGTCACTAAAGCAAATCTTAAATCCTTTAATAAAAGAAGGAGGTGAGGAGAATAAAGTGAATTTCCTTTAATACAGAATGCAACAGCATTTACAATATACACCATTAAAATAGCTAAGAATTACAAATGTGGTGACAAAAATAGCAGAATCCGTACAACATCCAAACATACAATACTCTTTTAACCAATAGAGTGACCACAGTAGTCTAAATCCGTGAAACACTAATTACTAAATACTACAAAATGGTGCTAGTTTTAAACAATAGAAAACAATGGAATTTGCATGAAATTGTGCTATTTAGTATTATTAAAGTTTCACGGATTTACTGTGGTCACTCTACTTTTATAGTGGTTTTCATAAACCCGCGTGAAATACACACCAGCCTTATATAAATTAGTAGACCCTCAGACCCTATTAGTAGACCCTATTTCTATTTTATCAATTTGTCATTTCATTGTTACACGCTAACTAATGATATCTGTTTTACGGGTTTATCAAAATCACTCTAAATTAGAGAGTTAGAGTTAGAAAGTTCGTATAAGTAAAAAGCGCGCCGAGTGAAATGGGACAATAAACAACGAAGCTAAAGACTGTCTACAGCACGTCGAAATGCAGCTCAATTTGGAGGACATACATATGGATTACCTATTTCGACGGGATTGTAATTCTTTTATGACCTCCAAATTGAGCTGCTTTGACGTCACATCCAAGGGGTCTATTGCTTATGCCTTTGGCTGCCAAACCCTTTTTTAAAAACGTGTATTTAGAGTGCATGCCATAAAACTATTAAATAAAAACAAAGTTGATAGAGACAAATAGTAGCTATTTAGTGACTAACAGTTGCTATCACTTAAACAGAACATCCAAAAAAATCAACACTAAAAGTGTGCAACACTTTGCACTATTTAGTAGTAAATAGTGCTAATTAAACAATAGAAAACAATAGGATTAGCATAATTTAGCAGTATTTAGTGGTATTTATGTTACACACTTATAGTGTTTGTACTCTAACAACTTTTTTTTATTATTTCATGGTTTTACTGTATGCCCTCTAGTGTTTGAAAGGTTATATCAAGACATCCATTAAAGTCCTGCCAAAAATTGTTTTTAATAAACAAGTGTGTGAAATAATGGTTTTCAAAATACCTCTCTTTAAAAAGTTTTTCCTTGACTTAAACACACATACAAAATTTAAATAAAACAGAACATGAAGAATTTTTACGAACAGGGACAGAGCAAGTATTTAAATATTCATTACGAAAGCACACAGGCTGCGAGACGACACTAATAGCGGCTGCGTAGGAGGCAGGGTAAAGCCTGGTTTTCACGAGCGACGCAAGCACAAGCGCAAGCATAAGAGGTCTTATTTCATCGTGAAAACTGTCTAACGCCTCTTGTGCTTGCGCTTGCGCTCGCGCTTGCGTTTGTGCTTGCGTCGCTTGTAAAAACCAGGCTTAACAGGTAACTAGCTCTTTGTACCTTTCAATATAAGACATATGAATGCTTTATAACTCATGTGTAGCAGCTCAGTTTATAAAAACCTTCTTTCATATGAACTACACGAGTTGGATCCGCTTTTACACACAGGAACTGAGGTGAAATATCGTGCGCCGACAAACAGCAGTTACCTAAACATAATAAATATCAACCATCGTCATCAATACTGGTATGGGAAAGATGTTTATAACCAATCAAATACACACAGCGTAGGAAGTGAACCATGATAAATCTTGTTGTACACTTCCTTTCGTCCTTCATTCCCACACCCTTTCTCCCGGGCATATTATACCAGCTACTAATCCCAGCTCGGCAAAAACAAACGAGACAAAAACCAAACATTAAACAAGAGAAATACACAGAGACTGCTTGCAGTTTACGTTTCTAGCCTGTTAGWGTTAGAAACCAAGCAAGTCATAATGCAATCTGACCTTTTGTTTCGAAGGGCTTTAGGTGAAACAAGCAAAGACAATATAAATAAATAAATTATAAAGGTTAAACCGTTAAAAACAGTTCAAAATAAATGTTTGCTTGAGTTTGCCTACCTCCTACTACTCCTGTGGCGCTCACGGTCTCGGTCACGTGATCGCGATCGCCTGTCACGTGATCTAGATCGCCTGTCACGTGATCTGGATCTTTTTCGACGGTGTCTTCTTGAACTTTCTCTATCACTACCTGTGTATTCGTCTTTTTCTTCGTATCGTTCTTTGTTTCGACTGAGACTGTTGAATTTTGATAACAATAAATAACATCATTCAACTCAGTAAATTTTGTTTGGTTGGCCCAACTGAAAAAGACAGTGTTATATTCTAACTATGCAAAGATAACGGATTTGAAGTATGTACATTTTATTACAAATTAGGGTTTAAACAAACGCACTGTTTCTGTCACTGATTCACGAATCATTGTGGATTGAATCTTTAGAAAGAGGAATAGACCTTTCCCGAATTCGGACGAGTGACCACGAAACAATGGCTCAAAGATGAGGTTGGACATGATGAAATACATTGAATGTATGAACACATCAAGTTGAAACTCGACTCGGAACCAGAGAAAACGTCTCTTCCAACCGATTTTGGAGGGAAAACGAAAAAACTAAAAACCTTGGAAAGTACTGGGTTTTTCACAAAATATCATGTTTTTCAGTGGCTGAAGGAAGAGGTAAAGACTGATAACTTAAATAAAATAAGAATCTTTATATGAATTAATGTTAATCGAATTATATATTTAGTTTACATATAGTTTTTATTATATATATAACTAGAATTCCATACAATAAATCTCTATTATAAAAATCCCTATACTTTATATTTCACTGGTAAAAATGCAATACGACCAATCAGCGTCGCATACAGCTTTTCAGTGTAAAAAATAGAACCAATCAAAACAGAATTGACCAAACCAACCAATCATAAAACGAGCAATTGTGACATTTGAATGGCTTTCCGCAAAAGCAAATTTGCGTTTTCTGTAGTTTGGTTGATGTGAACAAAATGGCGAGTCGTTTTGTGCCACTAGATGAGCCGGTAGATGAGTTTATTCAAAACCAAGAAAACAAAAACACACTAAGCAAGAAATAAGTGTATATAATAAAGAGAAAACATCATAGAAAATGCTTTGTACGGGGTTATAAATATGAGACTCGCTCGTTCGTGTTTTACACAAACAACTCGTGAGTATTTAGCAATTATTCGCCGAAGGCGAAGTGAATATCGGAGAATATATACCGAGACGCGAGTCTTCGAGCGGCGAGGTAAATATTCCTTATATTCACTGAGCCTGAGGCAAATAACTGTTTTAGCATGTATCAACTTGTGTACAGAGTAACTTATCTTTATATACAATAATTCAATAAAAACAAGCAAACGCAGCAGCTTTTAGTTTGCGTGACAAATTCACGCAAAACTTTTAGCAAAACGTTTAGGCCATACTTCGTTGCCTTTTTAGTATTGATAGGAATAGCATTTACTTTCAATTTTTCAATTTCCTCATCGGAAATTGTAGCAAAACGATTGCCGGCAGATGCCATTTTATTGCCGACTCAATATTCCGAGATTCAGAGGCGAATATCGTACAATATTCACCTCCAATTAACCAATGAGCGCGCGCGTTCTTAGGAAGTACACAAGTTGGTATATGCTAAAACCCCGTACGCCGCACTTTCTATGAAGTAATCTATATACAGTCAATTCAAAAAACGTTGTCGTCGATCGGCTCAAGCCTACGCAACTGGGCCGAAAGAAATATGGGTAAAAATCACTGTAGCGGTTAAATATTCGTTCTGAATTAATTGTTGCCGCTAGTAGTAAAGATAATAATAGCGAGAAACGATCCATCAAATGCATGTCTTTGGGTTTAGGGAAAGAAAAATAAAGTAGATATGATTCAGTTCACAATTTCGAAAATATGAAGGCATTAAAAAAACGTCTCCTTCAACACTTCCCGCTCGCCTACGAAGGTTCGTGCTGTAAACCAGGCATAACTAGTCAGATAAAATTATGTAGTCAGCTCGGCTTCAATGATTACTRCCCAGAGTTCCTTTCGGTCCAGTCGCGTAGGCTTGAGTTGGTCGACGACAACATTTYTTGAATTGACTGTATACGAATTAAGTGTCTAGTCGTACTAGCGCTTTTGCACTAACGCACTGATTTTGGACTCTTTAAGGTTGGTACCTACTATTGTCAGCGCGCACACTTACTGCGCATCTGCATCGAGGGATTCCCGCGGGTTTCAAAAGCAAAACACTCAAAGGTACAGAAAACGTCGGCCTTGGAAAAAATTAAGGCCAAGAACAACAGCAATAACTATCATTCATGTAATCAAAGGTGTATCACAGAGTAATTTTCAAGAATTCAGGTGTTTTTAGCGAAAAATCATATGTTTTTACTTTCTAGAAAAAGCAGTTTCAATGGCCTCGGATCGGTGAATAATAAAATAACTTTTTCAATATTTCCATACAGATAAGCTTAGTTTGTTTTAAAGTTAAATGAAAATTGAAAAAGTATTACACATTACACCAAATATCAGCCATTCATTTAGCTTTTCCTGCGAGTACAATTACATAAAATAAACTTTTGTCGTTGGAAAACCTCGTATTTACAAAAAATGTCTTTCACTCACTCAAAAAGTATATTCAAAAACGTTCACGCAAAGAGCATACTGACAAAGAAAATTATTATTTTGATTTATTAGATCTGTCTCTTGCACTTGTGAAGTTAAACTAAATCTAGGTTTGTATTTTACGAAAGTTTTTGCCTGGTTCTTGCTTTGCATGCACGACTGCCGTGAAACATTCATGAAAAGCCGTTCTTTTTCCGACTTCAAAAAAAATTTACATACCATTTGCTTAAGGAAATCTTTTCTTCTACACAGGAAATAATTATTTATTATTGTTCTTCGAATTGAATAAGTTTTCTGGTACTTTGAAGGCTTGAAATATCCCTTTTTTCAGTTTTCCTCCTGTTTGTAAAACCACGGAGATGAAGGAGCTGCTGCAAACACGCCAAAAACAGAGCGAGTCACGCTGTTTCGTAACGCCGCGTCACGCTTGTCACGCTTTTAGCACCCGATTTATCCTCAAAAAACTATTTTTAAAAATCATAAAAATGGTTCGTAATTAGTAGGCACCAACCTTAAGGTGGAACCAAACTAATTTATATTGAATTTTGGTCAATTTTGTCGACCGATATTCAAGAAATTACTTCTAGCGGGTTCAGCTCTTTTAGGTACACCTCACTTTAAAAAATGTTTTTTTTCCAAAATTTGGATAGGACGARCTGTAGGAATTTCACAACCATATAGATAAAGCTCTGGTCTAGCTCTATTGATGTAGGAATTTTAAACAAAAAACCTTTTGTGTATATGCTTCAAATTTTGGATCGAATTTTCAAGCGGCGTCATAACTTTTTTTCTGCCCAAGACTTTCCATCCAAATTTATACACAGGCTGCGTTATTAGTACTAAATGATAAGATTCAAAAAGACATCAGAAAAATCGTACCTGAGGATGAGGAGAAAAAAGCCAAAAACTAAAAATAGCACTGTTTGATTTTCGGATTAAATTGACGCACTAGTTTTGCGAAGCGAGCGAGAATTAAATTGTCCAAAATTCGCTCTGAATTAGTTTGATTCCACCTTAGGACTGTTTATTAAACAAATATAACAGATAGTGTTACTATGACCTTCTGCCATTTTAATGTTTGCGCACGAGATTCCCTTTGAAGCATGACAATATTGTAAGATTAGTATGGACGCACACAGCCCATACAATATGAAACTATCCATTGATCAAACACTAAAAATGCCCTTTATTGTGAACATTTAGATATATTACACAATTTAAACCTATTTTCATAATTATCAACAGAACCAATGATTTTACCTAGTTCCATCAATAGCAACAAACAAACAAACACATGACATCATCAACACAGTTGGAAATTTGATCAATGGAATCCGAAACCCAGACATCTCTAATTATATCAGACTAGTTGAAATGGGTTACATAATTATGGAAATGGTAGAAAATATCCAACGAAAACAAATTTAAAGTAAATAGCATTTTCAACAAACCTTCTTTCTAGCATTTTCGATTCAAGGCCTTGTAGGCAGCTTTGCAAATTCTGGACTAAAATCTGAAGAGAGAAAAGAAATCGAAGCTCACTAAAAACGGTTCTGAAGGGATATAGCTAGCTAAAAACTAGTGTGAGCTGCGTCGGTGTTTGTAATGAAACAGTAATGATATAAAGGTAACACTGTGAAAAGATGAAAAAACTTACTGTCGTTGCGGACGCTAGTCCTTGGTCTTTTTAAAAACAGTTATGTAGGACGTATGTTTGCCTAGAGGACTGTTTAATAAGAAATATTGTTGTTACTAAGGTCTCTCTCTCGTTCTTGTCTTACCTGACAGGTCTCATCATTAGCTGATGGCGACTGTTTAATAAGGGATACTGCTGTTACCAAAGTCTCTATTCCACTCTCATTATCCCCAGAGTTGGCATCTGCTATTGCTTTTTTTATAGCACTGCCAGCGACAGTGGAATTTCTCTTGATTGACTCTGTATAATCATCTTAAACAAAAAGAATTTATAGTTATGATTTGATGATTTCAAATAATCTTGAAAATGTTTCATAATATGAAACAAGTGCCAGTCATTAGCCAAAGAAACTATGATGGCAAGTCAAGTCACTGAAAAATATGGGGGAGAAAATTAAGAGCCCTGGAGCACCCAAAAAAAGTGGGGGGTAGTGGGCTGCTAAAATTGGAATAAATAAGAGACTAGTATGCAAATAGGGTAGGCGTGGGGGAGATAGCTGGGATTGGAAAATTTAGTCCATATTGACAAAAAGTGGGCCCCCCAACCCCCCCCCCCCCCCCCCCCCCCCCCTGCAGTCCCTGGAAATATAACTGCCATTTGCTTAAGTTATTTTTGGGGATAGTTCAGTTACCATACCTTGTCTGCTTGAATATTGGCTGGCCAAAGGATCAACTCTAAAATACAATTATGTAATGAAAAATAAAAAAAGTGTTAAAATAACAAATAACAAGTCCTCTGTAATTGGTAAACACATGATGCTAATGCCCAAAACATAAAATCTTCTGTCCTCGGGAGCATGTTTGAAGTGTAGCAGAATTTGATTGTCTGATATATATGAAAATGTCATCCATCTGTGAATGAAAACCAAAATTCAAAACACAATCTGACTCAATCTGTGCCAAAGTTTTCGTGTACATTTACACTTTTCTTATTTGACTTCCAACACTACAGTGTCTAACTCGAAAACTAAGTGTTAAATTAGACACTGACATTCTAAAAAATTAACTAACAACAAAAATATGAGAAAAGAAAAATGTAATTAACCGATTAATTTGTAATTAGAAGCTTAGTATTTAAAAAATGTAAAAAAGAATGTAAATAAAATATATTGTATTGTATTTGTTTATTATATAAATTATTTTGTATGACTTTGCCAATGACCAGCATTAAATTATTTGCTTGATAATGAAGTCATGATGACTTCAAAATGTCACAAGAAATTTACGTTATTGTTTATATTGAGTTAAAATAATAGTAACTATTTTAATTTTTTGCGATTAACACTTACTACTCACAGATCAAACTAGAACTGGTAGGGGGAAATCCCATGACTTTTATATGAAATTCTACCTACAGTGTACTGTAACTTGTCTCAACTAACCTGCTAGCCATGGAAACTGCAGCAAAGTCAGGCTAGAAAAAGAATCAATAAGTTAATATTAAACACAATATACTGACAAAGATACCAACAAAAAATGGACATGCAAACCTAGCTGAATGACAGCGGTAACCGGTCTTTTCGAACCAAAGTCTTTTCGATCCAGGTCTTTTCGAACCAGGTCCAGGTCTTTTCRAACCACCTATATACACTTTCGATCCACCTATATAACTAAAGCATATAACACGTCCTATATGCTGTGTACATAGTTAATTTAAATAAGTATAGTTTCAAAAGTTGTCTTGAGCACCGAATAAAAGATTATGATCAAAAAGGAAATCAAAACTATGCGCGTTGTACTATGAATAAGTAAGCGATACTAACACATATCACACACGATACTTAGTTCACTCAGTTGGATTAATTCACTTCTTCTGTGATATTTCTGTAATATTTCTGAAAGAAAACACTAAACATCTATAAAATATTTCACAACTATATTGGATCGAAGGTGTATGTATGTGGATCGAAGGTGTATGTATGTGGATCGAAAGTGTATATAGGTGGTTCGAAAAGACCTGGACCTGGTTCGAAAAGACCTGGATCGAAAAGACTTTGGTTCGAAAAGACCGGTATTCATGACAGCTACACATTCCATGATATGTACAATAGTCACAAAGCTTAACAAAAATCATTTTTGGGGGGAATTGGGGGAATTCCCTTGTCTCATAGCCTCGGAGTAGGCATAGCTCAGTTGGTTAGTGCGCAGCCTTCAGAACTTGAGGTCCACGGCATGTCTTAAAATAATCTTGCTGAGCCATCTACCATGGATCTCCACATCTGTTAATGCGACTTCTCCGTAATCTTTGACATTAAGCTTTCAATATTCTTAGAAAAGAGCACCGATTGAGAGAGGAGGAAAGTGCCCACTGTCGGTTTCCATTAACTACCGACATTAAATATAGGTACTTTAAATTACTTTTTGGGATTTGCAGCAATATGTTGCATTATTGGGCTGTTTGAAGGACACTTCTTCAGTCAGTTGACATCTTATGCATAAACAAACAAAAACTTTATTTACAAAACAATTAAGGTTTCCTATCACTTTCTAGAAATTGACAATGATGGCATTTTAGTAGAGTGTTAAACCAATCCCATAAAAAATTCCCATGATGCAACACAGTCTGCAATTTTAAACAGGCTAATAATATAGGGTGAGAGTTTAATGAATCACATAAATTATAATACTGTGTTGTAGACCTGGGTGAATGTACACCCAACTTGGGTAACAGAAGTTTTTTAAATATGTTTCATCAACTTACCAGTGGCCCTTCAGGAAAGAATGCAGGATTAACATGTGGAGCTACTGGAGGTCTCTGCATTTGTCCCATCATACCTGATTCATAACAACATCAATTATCCTGGCAAATACTTAGTCTATTAATTAAAACAGACTGTCAATAACAATAAGATAATATAATCTTCCATTTGAAAAGAAACAGAACTAATTGAAAAAAGATGTTACAAGAATTAGAATATGGTCAAATGTTTTGATTAGTATAAAGCAAAAGGTAAGAGAATGAAAAGTGATGCTAGCAAATACCAGTGGAGAACATAAAAAGCCCACTTTTGGATTTTCACAATAAGCTTTTTCATAATGAATCTAGTGTGTCATTTTTAATTAACCCAAGGTCAAGCTCAACACTTCTGGGTATTTCTCCTATTGTGTAGTTCCAAAAATTATCCATACCTCCCTCACGGAGGAATTTTTTAAGACACCCCACTGTCCCCCGGAAATTCCAATTTTCTTCCATACAAACTCTGAAATTTTTGTTCTTTCTCTGATCCCCCACTCCTCGGAAATTCTTAATTCCTCTGTGGGATGGGTATGGGTAATTTCTGGAACCACACATTCTAATTTGGAGATGGTGAGCAATATTTAACACCAAGCATTACCACCTTCCTTAAACTAAAGAACTACAATATTGTTTAGATGACTTACCCATTCTAGCAAAGTATGGATCACTACCCATAGCTACACCAGGGCCATGGCCAATGGAAGGCTAATTATGAAACAGGAACATATTAGGTAAATGATGATACATTCACTGTAGACATTGTCATATTTCATGACATTGAATGGCAAATCTGAAATTTTTTATATCAGTACAACTTGTAATGAGTGTGTATTGTGCTGAAGTGTCGAGTCTGTGTTTTATTTAAATTTATGATATAGCTTAGATAGTACACGCACCCTGATTGGCTGAAAACCTATACTCAATTTGGCCAGTAAAGACATGGTTTTTGATTGACAGCTCACAATTGAAAGTTTCTCTAATACAATTTCTTCTCCAAGAAATCTGCACAAATGGGCGATTTCTGTTTTTCAAGACTAGTTTTAATCATTTGTAGTAAATTTTCATTTAATAAAGTATTAGTTTTTCAGATAAAAAGACACAAGGAACACAAAACATGCCTGTAAAGTGAAAACTCATTCGGTTGTTGAAATTCAACATTTTTTCTTGTTTGCAAACACACTTAAACAATATTGAGACTTATAAACTTTTAAGCATAACAACTAAAACTTTCTATTGAATATAAAGCAAATGCACTCATTTTCCTACTAGAATGATTTTCTGAAACGGATATGGAAGTAAAAGTCGAGGAAACACCTTGCAAAATGCTAGATCAAGTTTTGCGAAAAGATTTTTCGCCGAGGCAACCTACAGCCAGTTTAGGTCGAAAGTGGCAAAAACTATGGCCCGAAAACAGTCTCATTTCACTTAGGAATATAACAAAAAGGTTCCTAAACAGTCCCTCAAATAACAAACCTATAAAACTTACCCAAGATATGAGGTTTGCTTTGATGTAGGTATGGAAAACAGGTTAAAAACAAATCTGACAAAGCCCAATGTTGTTGAGCGTGCAAGATCCAAAAATGTGCACACCATGTACAAATCTTACGAAAATGTCACTTGTTCTTGAATATTCAACCTTTTTATAGAATCTTTATGTTTACATCCTTTTCATGAATTTTTTCAAGACGTTTTTCTAATTTGTCAGACTCGTCTTTCCAGTGAATGAGAAAAGGTACAATGATATGATTCGCTTATTTGCCAAAGTGTGGAGAATTGCAAATTTGATCAGACGATAAAACGATTTAATAATCTCAAAATATCTTCTGCTATATCATAAAGCGATAGAGACTAAGTTCTTATGAGACTTAGAACTTGGTTTCTATCACTTAAACAGACCACTAAATGTTCTTTTTTTAAGGTATGTGATTGGTATATCTGCATTCAATATTTGAAATATCACCAAATAGTCCAGCAATATGGTGCAAAATGACATAATTGTGCACTTTAAGGTAAATGCACCAAAATTGGTACAATCATACTATTCGACAAGCTGATTAATTTCAGCTATGGACCCACCTCGAATTCATCCAGGGGGATCAATTTTTGCACTTGGGGGATAGGGTAAGGCAAATTTTGATTGAAAATTCTAAAATATACTGGAAATGTTATTTAAACTTGCAACAAATATGACAGAATTAAAGTATTAGATGTACTGATTAATTTTAGCTATGAATCGAACTTATATTTTTTCCAGGGTGGTCAACCCCTTACCCTTAGGGGGTAGGGTAAGGCAAATTTTGATCAAAAAAATCTATAATGCAGAAAATATTATTAAGACAGCACCAAATATGGTAGTATTACAGTATTAAATCATACGATAAATTTAAACTATGAATCTATGTTGGATTTGACTACTCACTGACAAATGCGGCTCTCAAATGCACAGAAAAAATCGCTTTAGGACAAGTTATAGACCAAAAACAATTAAAAAAAACCTTCATGTAGTCAAAGATGGATCAAGAAGTGTTATTCAAGAATTCAGGTGCGTTTTTAGCAAACAATCGTATATCGAGCAAGTATGACTATAAAAATGAGCTTAAATTTGTGTTGTTGAGATATGTTATTGTATAAAGACCTAGACTTTCACTCTAAAAAGCTAAAAAATATTCAAAAACATTTACAAATGCAATTTACTGACAAGAAATTAGTCATTTTGTGTTTTGCATTGCCTTTTGCATTATTTTCTATTTTGTCTCAGTTGTTCTTGTCAAGTTCAACTGAATGTAAACTTTGTCTCGTTCTGTAAAAGACATAATTAAAGTAATCTTTTATTTTCTGCTCACCTTAACCAGTTTTCAAATCTGTTTTTTAGTCTTGACTTGTCCTAAATCTCCAGATTTACGATTTTAATGAAAGACATCCGAGGTAAATTCCACTAAACTTGATATTGTATTGGATTATCTGTAGTTATCTTTCGTTTTTTTTTTTTTTTTAAGTAAAAGAGATTCAAAGCCTAAAACTTTGAAATTTTGTTGAGGAAAATCTTCCAAGAACAAAACTAGCCCCTGGGGTGGTGGTGAGCTCTGTACAAAATTCCTAGTGGGAGAATATACTCGTGCAAAAAAAAAACAAACAAAAAAACAAAACAAAAAACAACAACGTAGTGTTTCAATTTGATTTCACTGCATGGTTTTTATTATGGGAGAAATTATCTTCATCTTGAATAAAAAATAATTGAAGATTTTCCCCCCAATCTTATTTTGGCCTTTCAGTATCATTCGAATTGTTCTCCCTGTGACTTCCGTATCGGGAGCTCCGATTTTAGGCAGTGTCTAAATGTATATATTATTTTAGAAAGCTTCATTATATTGTAGGTTTCTAGTTTCTCAATTTTTTTCCTAATGAAAACATAGTTTAACTTAACATGTTTAGGTGTGAATGGGGTATAAGATTTTGAAAAGGGCAACAAAACTGATAGACCTGAAAACAAAGTTATCTTTTCATTTAATTTTTGTGCACCATAGAATTTTCTTCATGCATCTTTATGGACACAAATATGTAAGTATCAAAAAAAATCAGTTTCCTTGCAGAAAACAAAAGAAAAGTGAGTATTTTACATACATTACATTAGGGATGTCCTGTTACAGACATTACAATCACTGCACTGATAAATGTTTCAGCCTTTCATCTGACAGTAAAAATTAAGAATGTGAGAAATTACTCTTTTATCTAATTATCAATTCAATATTCTTCAATTGGGAAGGTCCAACAATAGTGTATGTAATCAAACTTATGACAGYTACATGTTGAATACGCCTTTTCTACAGTGTCTTTTAAATTGAAAGTCCAATTGAATGCAATGTCTTCCTCAATAATGCATCTTAAAGTTTATACATTTTAAAAAGGTTAAACTGATTGAACTTCATTGTGAGAAATATATTAACTTACTGAATAACAATTAACCACATGCCAAGCATGTATCAATGATCAACAGTGATCATCAACAATATCAGGTAAAAGTAACAATCATGACATGTATAATGATCTGTACAAAAAAAATTTCCATTCATGATTGTCAGGTTCTCAAATCAGTGACCATCTGAACACATCACTGAAATGTATTTTGTTTTCTTAGATATTGGAAACTTCTTATCTCCGAAAGATTTGGAACTTCAAATGGTCCAGTTCCTCTCAGCTAGCTCCATGGGAGCAGACACATTATTTCGTCTTTTTCATTTGTACCTTACTACTCTTCCCAGTAGACCGAGGTAGTTGTGATTTTTTAATCGCCTTCATAGCGTCTGTTATGTTATCTGCAAGTACATTTCAAATCGACCACGTGATGCCAATGTTGTACCACGAGGACAAGTTTTATACACCACATGGTCAAAATTCAGTCAAGTTTTAATCACGTGGTGTAAAAAACATGTCCTCATGGTACAACATTGGCATCACATGGTCGATTTGAAATGTACTTGCGGACAACATAACAGACGCTACGAAGGCAATTAAAAAATCACAACTACCTCGGTCTACTGGGAAGAGTAGTAATTAGATGTACTAAGCATTTGAAATTATTGCTAGATACCACAAGGTTATAAATAAACAAAAATATCCAGTAAACTATCATCAAAATTATATTTTTTCGCAGTATAATGTCTGTAACAAAAAATGTGCATATGTCAGTAACAGCAGTTTTTTCCTCCAACTTTAAACAGACTAACGAAATGCAAGAAAGGACCAGCAATGAAAAAGCTTTGAAGCACCCTGTTGTTAGATTATTAATGCCTGTGCTGTAGATTCAAAGGAAAATAAATATAAATTGAACCTGTGAAACATCTTTGTTTTTGTAATGTCTGTAACAGAGATTTAAATAAAAATATTTACCACTTATTTGAATGAAATCCAATATTTGTTTTTGTCTAATGATGAGAAGCCTGTTTAAGGAATGTTTGTGCTACATACTGATACAAACCATGCGAAACAAGTTTGTTATTTTTTCATATATATATTGCAAAAAATTGCCTCCAAATGTAATGTCTGTAACATGGAATGGCCCATCGTTTTTCTAAATGGAATGGCCCATCGTTTTTCTAAATCCCATTAGCATAGGATGTTTCCATGAAATAAAGCCGTGAATAAAAACCATATCARTGAAGTGATATGATATCACTTCATGGTAAAACTGTCCAATACGATCTCACGACACATTTTAGTTCTGACCAATGAAAATCAACCCTAAATGTATAATAAACAAAAAATCAATGTTAAGAGCCTGATATCGTTTTATTCACAAGTGTTTCCACAGGTAGCCCAAGCTTGGTTTCTGTGGTGTCCTGTTATAAGGAAATGTATGGAGATTCATCAAAAATTTCAATAAAATCATTGAAACGTGAAATAAAGCCTTGAAATTTTACCCGATCATTGAGAAATAGCACTTCTTTTGCTCTGCATGGATATTTTTTGAATTTAGCCCGTTTTAAGATTTTTTCCCCCACTAGTAAGAAATAAGAGAAGGTTGTAGACTCGAGTCCCAAAAGCGAACCATCACGAGTTTTTGAAACCTCATACGTCTTCGAATTTTCTTTCCAACACCAAATGTTAGTCATTACTTTTTCTCACATCCCTGAAGAACCGAGAAAGTTGCATTAGAGATTAGTCTTCGTGTCTTTAAGCCATGAAATTTGCCTGTATTCACATACTACCTCGCTTGTTCTGACCCGTACTTGGAGCTYACTGTACACCAGTTCAATGGATTTCTTTCAGCAACCGACCCGAGGTCACGCCGGAAGTCTTTGTATTGTAAATGCGGATTGAATTTGGATATAGTCTTTTTTCAAAATTATGGTGAGTGTATTTTTTAATGGCCTMACATTTGGCGCTGGAAAGAAAATTCGAAGACATACGAGGTTTCAAAGACTCGTGATGGTTCGCTTTTGGGACTCGAGTCTACAATCTTCTCTATTTCTTACTGGTGGGGAAAAAAAATCTTAAAACGGGGTAAACTCAAAAAATATCCACACAGAGCGAAAGAAGTGCTATTTCTCAATGATCGGGTAAAATTTCAAGGCTTTATTTCACGTTTCAATGATTTTTTTATTGAAATTTTTGATGAATCCCCATACATTTCCTTATAACAGGACACCACAGAAACCAAGCTTGGGCTACCTGTGGTTTTTCATATCATATCGCTCACTTGCTCAAGAACTCGCTTGTTCGCCATGATACAAAAAACTTGTGAATAAAAACGATTTAACATGTGATAATCTCTATATATCGCATTCTGGGACAATCACGACAAACCCCTAAGCTTCATGCTAGGTTAATTTGCAAAGTGAAATGAGAATTTAAAAGATAATCTTTAAGGTGGGAGGAAAACCAGAGAACCTGGAGAAAGACCCTAGAAGAACATACAGCATTGATGAGACCTGTGCTCTTTACAGTTAAAGTAAAGGGACTGCACTTACCATGGCCATTTGAGGAGGTGCTGGTCCATGGCCAGATGGTTTGTCTATACCCATCACAGCATTAGGAAAATGACCCATATTGGGGTTCATTCCAAACGGTGGTGGTTGCTGGTCTCCAAATGGAGGAACCATGCCTGGAGGAGGGAGCCTTGGACCACCCATTTGACCTGGTGGGCCTACAAGATATATAAACAGATTTGGCCTATCAGCTGCTACCACAGTCATGCTAATAAATGGAAATTTTAGAGAACAAACACATTCAAATCAAAAATATACAATTTTAAGATGAGAGATAAAAAAAGAATCAACAAAACTATACAAATAAATAAAACATAAAAATACATGAAGTTGGTGTAATTAAAGAAGATAAAAGAAAAAAACATATAAACGTGATTCCAGCTTACCCATCCATGGTCCTCTTGGGGCCATTTCTCCTTCAAATCCTCTTCCCATTCCTGGACGTACACCACCCCTTCCTCTGAATCCCCCTCTATTATAGCCAAAATACCCTCTTCCCCTATCACCTCCTCCACCATGGTAACCAGGTCCTGACTGCCCATCTTGTCCAAACTGTCCTCCATGACCTGGGTAGTTTGATCCAACACCTCCAGCTAAAATATCAAGAGGAAATTACATATTAGATCCTTTGCAATAATGTTATGCATCAAGTAACTCGCTGGAAAAGCAAAAACAAAGAAGGCTGCAGTGCAATTGCCCACGAAAAATCAATTATTTAATATTCTGATGTGGGATTCTTTGCACAAAATCCCTTCTTTTGCACTTTTTAGCAAGCATCTCAGTAATCACATCTACTACTGTCACCATTATCATAATCACAATATATCCGTGAAACTTCAGTAATACTAAATAGCACAATTTCATGCAAATTCCATTGTTTTCTATTGTTTAATTAGCACTATTTCGTACTATTTAGTAATTAGTGTTTCATGGATTAATTGTTTGCGTTCTATCATATCACAATCACTACTACTACCATCAACACCACTACTGACATACCTGTATCATCACTAGAGTACAATCACTAACCAATCAACATTAACATGACAATTGCCATATAATCACCATCACAATCTGACACTACTACAATTATCATAACTATTGCCAGATCATCACCAGGGACGTAGTCTGGGGGAGCCAAGGGGGCCATGGCCCTTCACTGGAATAAAATGGCAACTTTTAAAAATTTATACAGTAATTTTTAAATGTTTTCCCTGAGTTTTGCAAAATTAAGACAAAAAAATGTATTGTCAGTTCTTTCTTTTCTTTCAAAATGCCAAAACAAAATGGCTGATTTTTGAATTTTGGGCCCCCCTTCAGAAAATCCTAGCTACGCCCCTGATCACCATCACAACCATTAACAGTACTATTATCACCATCACAATCACTACTATAATATCATAATCACTACTATATCACAATCACTACTACCATAATAATCACTACTACTGTACCATAATAATCACTAATAAAATATCAATGACTACTACTACCACCAACATAACTATTGTAATCACTATCCTATCACTGGAAGTTAAAACTGCTGACATCATCAGGATAACAACCACTATCTCCACCATCATCATCACTGCTTCTGCACCACCACCACCACCACCACCAGCTTCCAATTTTCATTATTATTATATTACCAACACCACAATTATGTATGTGGTCAACAGTACTAACCTTTAGACCTTGCTTGATATTCAAATTCATGCAAGTGCTGCTTGGTTGCTGGGGTTACGACAAGCTTCTGTTCATGCAGTTCACTGGAAAATCAAAATTGCAACAACAAAAAAGAGAATTACCAATTTTTTAAAAAATGTCTAGCATATTGGGTACAAAGAATTGCAAATGTTTGTATCCAGCTATAACAGTGTTTATAAGCAACCATTGCGTCCTTTAACATTAGAAAAAATTAAATCCTCAAGTATAGGCACTTATTAATGGACCCCTATTAAGGACATTCATGGGCAAAAGATCCCATCCTCAGTTTTTTTAAAACAATGTCCATAAATGTCCTTAAGGTGACTGTCTACTTTTGAACATTTGATTCGAGCCGACAATGTGCGTGCGCTCAAAAACCGCTGAAAAATCTACAGGATTTTATTGAAGAACCATAAAGCGTCTTGAGCTTCAACAGGGCAAAACCCTCAAATTTTGCACGGTACTCTCTATTTTCTTAATAGCTAATTCGAAAAAATTCCTAAAAATCTATGTTATGACCATTGAATCTACAGTGTAGGTTATGACCATTGAAAAGCTTGCATGTAGGCTTCCATTGAATGCTGATTATCTCTAAAACAAGCTCGGGACACCCAATTTTGCTTTCCAGATTTGGAATCAGCATTAAATTTCAATTCGGATAATCGAAATTTAAAGAAAAAGTTTAATATTTTTTCCAAAAGTACCTAGGCAGTCACCTTAAGGATTGATGTTACTCACCCTCCCCCTACCCCTGATGGTTTGACAAATTATTAATGGGATGTTTTTGGTAAACAATAACAATCGTAAGCATATATTCCTTACATTTTTGGTAGGTGCTCTTGTACCAGTTGTACAGACTTTTCTGATCCAAGCTCAATCAATGCAAACCTGATTAGTCAACACAAAACAAGCCTTCAGTAAGATTTCATGTAGTTTACTGGAAATCTGAATAGTTAATTGTAATGGTCCGATTATGACGCATACCTTAGTGTAGCTTTACCGTAATTGGAGTACACGTCACTGGATAGGCACATTCTGCCATCTCACCATTAATTTTATTATTGACAATATTATATTGTTCTTTAATTTACAAGAAATTGCACACAACTTTATCATATCCTTTCTTCATGAATATTGCTCATAACTTGCACATGATAAATTGCACTAAACTTCCTAATCAATGGCAGTAATCCGAAGCATTTTAAAGATTAGAGTGATTCCATTGACCTGTGAAGCAGATATTAGTCTAATAGATATTTAATGGTAGACACATTTCTTTTTTAACAGCATTTACAAAGAATATACCAAAACTTTACCACAGTTTCCCGTATATATAATAAGGGTCACAAAAATTAGAGGTTGAGATTTGAAACTTTTTGTAGAAAAGTATGGGTAAGTGGTGGTGTGTATAGGGGTTTTTATCTTGTAGTTATAATTTTATAATTTTTTACACACATATCTTCATAGTTTAATATATTAGAGGGCCACAGGTTTGTTAGCATATTGCTATTTAGTGTTACCCTCACTAAATAAAGAGTTTATTATTATTACTATTAAAGGCATGGCCTTCATGTTGTTTGACATAACACTAGAGGAAACCAAGACCAAATCTTTCATTTAAGTAAACAAACACAGTTTGTAAGGATAGGAATATGTTTGAAGATTCGACATATTTTGTTTCATAGGTCTTGAAATGGAATCACTCTATACCGTTCAGTTACAAATGTGTAAAAGTTTAACTAGTTTATTAAATAAGCTATATTTTGTTTATGAAAAAAGGTTATTACATATATTGGTATATCTACATTAGGTAAAATGTTCATAGGAGAGGATGCAAATGCTATACATGGAATGTTTAACTGCCTAAACTAGCTTTCTTCTGGAATTATCATTTCATTTTGAAAAGAAAAACACAGCCAAAGCTATTTGGAGATTGACATTGGTGTTGTTACAATATCCCATGGAAGTAGAAAAAAAACACATAAGAATATATTAATGATGGCTTAAAAACACAAGGAAAGTTTACCCAGCATGGACATACCACGCTTAAATAGTAACTTTAAAGCATGGATATTGTTAAGTTTTATGATGGGTACATATACAGCTGTAAAGCACAAGGGGTTTTGGGAAGATGTTGATCTTAGCACACATCTTCATTTTAGGATTCTACGCTGCACCTTTACAGGTACCAATGTACACCCACCTACAGCTATCCCTACCTTGTGAACAAACATGACTATATGGAACTATGCCCATACCTAGATGAATCAGACTACATAACCCATTTTCTGTCTCTGTGACCCTAAGATTTGTCAAAATGTATTCATAATAGAGTGATCTTCCCCAGATCATGAAATAGTTAGTAGACTAATAAAGCTTATTATATTTTACTTCCACTGTTTTCTTTTGTGTCTTCTAATTATTATACACCAACTACTAATAACTGTTTCACAGTCTAAAGATAATCACTCTCTTTGGATTATTAGAAATTTGATTGACTCTAGTTTTCTGGATCACAGAAACATGAAAAGGTTGAAAAGAACCAAATGACAATCACATCATACCACCAGCAGGGATAATTATGTATGGGTGTTAATTCGTGTATAATATTAATCATCGCTTACACTGCTAATCAGGATGCATATACATGGGACACAATTACTTTTGTTACAGACATACAATGTCTGCACTGGGCAGCCATGAAGCACAACAGGGTTCCACTGAATGGATTACCCTGAAAAAAGGATTTCATTCATTGACTTACAATAAGAGGATAATCAATTGTTCTCAATTAACATCAATATGCTGTAATTATGTACAATCATTGTTACAAGAATTGACAACTTCCAATCAATCAATCACAGGGCTTGAGGCTACATTTCACCAAATCAGAATATTTGGACACAACTAAATTCAATACACATCATGTTAGAACCACAAAATACTTTTCTGTCATACGAAGACAAAACACTGCATACAAAATGATCCAATCGAGCAAACTACCAAAACAAACCAGTAGTCAAACCATGCCCTGACTTTGATCAGCCCAAAGGTTGTCTCAGGGTATCCATAAGAAATGAAGGAAGTTTCGCTTGAAAGGGAAAAAACCATCTGGATCTGGTTGTGTGAAGGGTGGATAGTGCTATCCAATGGATAAATCATTATCCAGTGGATAAGTCAACACTCTTATCAAATAAATGTATCCATTTGATAATATTTATCCATCAGATAGCACTACCATATCCTTTCTTTGTACAACCAAGCCCAGCAATGAGCCAGGTTCTCCAGCCCAACCCCTTTTCTTTATGACACGCACAGGTAACCCAAACAAAGACACTTTACATGAAGAAATATGCAAATATAGAACCAGACACAATGACAAAAATATCATGCACGAACTAATAATAATTAATCATTGTTACAATGATAACTAGATCACTCTTATATATCAGACATCTTTAAATTAATTCAAAAATCTTCAACACCAATTCTTTTAATGGCCTTAAAATGTTCCATATTATATCAAAATCTGTACAATGTCATAAATAATATTCATAATAAATAAATCCATTACTATATAACATACTCTACCTAAATGTATGACCTATACCAATAATTTTATTAAACTAGATGTCCAATTTACAGAAGAATTCACAGGTCCATATCAAAAATGCATCTTAATAAATAATGTAAATGAGCAATGTCTATGTAAAGGATGGTCTCTCCACACAAACAAATGTATATTATGATTCTCAATAATAAAAAAGCCAAATTACAACCATTTATTCATCTGAACAGACCAATCTTTAAACATGCTACAGTATTTCAAGCTATAGAGCCCCATTATGCACTCCATAAGTACCAATATGCACTCATTTTGAATTTACAATGATTAAAATTGATCAAAATCCAATTTTTCAATTCCATTTTGTGATATTTACAATATAAATATTTCCCATTATCTATGTTGCTGGTAATGTATTTACAACTGCAACAACATTTCATTTTACACTGATTTTCTTTTTTTTTTAACAGTGGAATTTCACAAGGGAGGGAGAATTGCTATATACAAAAAAATACATCTTTGAAAATTTACATTGTAAATTATGAAAACAACAATTTAATGTTAATTTTGAACATTTTGTTTGACATTCTTTTTTAACATTAAGTCAAAAATAAATTTAAATACAAAAATAGCTTCAGAAAGTTCCTTGAGAAGAAAACTGAAAAAAATATCTTAGAAGAGTTATCTTCATGAGTATATCTGGTTTAGAATCCATTTCCCTGCTCAGTAGGTAGGTAGATATGAAGCTTTTATTTCCAAACTTTAGTTTGTTCTGTGATATGTTAATAGCATATAAGTAAAGTGGTATAATACAAGTGAGTGCAACAAATGTTTAACTGTTTTTAAATGGAAAACTTTAAGCATGAAATCTATTTTTTATGGAAATTATTGGAAAGAGAAAAGTGAAAGAATTTTATCTATATCTAATTAATATGAATGAAAGTTAATGTGATGGAGGGATAATGAACGATAACTTTAAACTCTTGCATCTTATTGTTTTTCTGGATATGTGTGATAAAATATCAGTGGAATGTCAACACAATGCTAAAAAACAGAACTGTGACAATATCAATAAATACCTGAAGTCAATTGGTAAATTATGTAAAAGCATCCCCAGGATGTCTACTTAAAGACTGTTTTTAGTGGGATAGTGGAATATTATTAAAAATCGTTAATTACAGTATTATTAGTACAGATTAAAACAGATGAGGTATATTCACATTTACCTACCTTTGTATTATTTACTTAATCATGTGATYTTGGGTTAAAAAACACAAAATTCTGTACTCACCCTTTAGACTGGCCATTGTTTCTGTTCTCAAAGAACTTGATATTAACCAGGTCAGTTACTCCACATTCCTGTAATGCTTCTGTTAATTCCAGGTCTCTTGTCCACTGTCAATAAAAACAAAAGTTAACAATGCTATGATTTAAAGTATATTTTACAACAAAAAAAACAACTTGTCATCGCTTATCACCACCGCAAGTACAGCAGTTACGCAGCTTAATGGGGTCGAACTGAAAGCATGTGAAGGAGTTTCTGGCGACCGCTACACAGTCTATGTATGACCCCAGAGCACAGCTCTAACCAGTTTTAATTACTTAGGGTTGATTTGAGAGGAGGGAGGAAAAAACAGAGGACCGGAAAAAATCCTCAGAGTCAGAAAGAGAACCAACCAACTCAGCTCACATGGGGAGATTGGGATGCAAACAATCAAAATGCTAGCTATGCTTGCATTAATAGACCACCCTGTTGCAAAACCCATTCTACCCTATCGCAAAACCCACACTATTTTGTYCAAAAACCACATCACTGCATGTTCCTAAACCCATATAACAATATTCCAAAACGCATCCCAAACTGTTCCAAAACAAATTCCAGACTTCTTTGAAACCCTTATCTTCTGGCTCATGACCTCATGTGCAATAGATTGTCAAAGACAGTTACACTGTATTAGTTGTAATCTTAATAAAGTATAAACAACTTACCCATGTCATATTCCCAACATAAAGTGGTTTTCCACGCTGACGTTCAAAATGGCTCTGCGCAGCCTGGGAGGCAGCAGACTTTGGATGGACCGTAGTATAAGACTTGTAATCATATCCACCTGCTACAAATAAAGGTTAATGTTTGACTAAACAAACTAATAATCATCTAATTTGCAGTTCTAAACTTCATGTCTTGACGTAAGCATAGATTTGTGCAAGTCTTACCTTGTGGTTGTATCTCAGGAGGCATTACCATATCCACAGAATACTGGAAATAAAAACAATGACTTATCAATCACTGCATTGGTATCGATCAGCTGAGTGAGTTTCATGGATCTCATTACCAGCCTACAATGGCAGGCAAATACTGCCAGTCAAGTGCATAAAGTAAGCCTTATATCAAGAGATGTATATCAGGATACCAAACTGTGGGCAGAGATAGAAAAGATGCAGCATGGTCAAGTGGTCATAGCGTCGGTCTCACAACCCGGTGTTGCTGAGTTTGAGTCCCGCTGTGGCCATTAGCTGAGACTGTATTTGTCATGGTTTCTGATTAGTTCATATTCCGTTTCTTGACCATGCTTGTACAGTACATCTCGCAGGGATGTTAACATGTCCACGTGCGATTCCTGAAAGCAGTCACCGCAGTGACTACACTCAAGTGCGTGTAGTGCTCATGATTTTTGTATTTTCTTATTGAGTCATACAGTTTTTTGTTCTTTTTCTTTTTACTTACAACAGGAAGCTGATCTTTCGCTACTAGGCTCACTAATATTCCCCCTTTGCTTGAATAACAAGGCTATATTGCTCTTAGAGCAATGATGTTTCGGCCCGCTAAGCCTAGTTTCAGGGGGTGTGCGGTTTCATTTTTTGTGTCAAGTGGCTTTGTTTTACTTTTAAAAAGACTTACATTTTTAATAGTTCCTAGCGCAATCCAATCACGACAGTCCAACAGTGAGTAATGTTTAGGAGTTCTATTTTTAGCTTTCTTCATGGGAAAAAATGAACAGATTGCTTATTGTATAAATATAAAAAATCTCCATAAAAAAGAACCTTGAAGTATTCTAACAAAAATAGAGTTATTATTAGTTTATTGTTGACTAAGTTTTTGTCATTTAAGCACTCAAACTAGACATGGTCGAGTTCCTGAGTTTTTAATAGTAATTTAGAAGTTTCAAGGATCTCTCCTTCGTGAAACCACAAGTTTTATCTGCATCTGTAATTTTTTCTCTGTTCACTTGAAGAAATAGCAGGTACTTGAGTAAGACAATGTTCAAATCCTTTACTCTACATTGTTGGTCACAAAGGAAAAATATCTATCTCGCATTGTTCGTTGGAGTGCAAACACGCACACACACAAGTCTTTTTAAATACATACACTTTGACAAGGATGTCAAACAATAAATCAGTCGATTCATCTGCAATCATTATTAAAATTTGAAGATAAATTAAATTCRAGAAGCATTTTTAAGGGCAAAAACAGTCTATAATTGTTGCCGCCAGTAGTCGGCAAAGATATCATAACTCGAATTTTAAGACGTAAAATCAGGCCTCAAAAGCGGAGGATCGGGTCAAACGAAACAGAACAAAGGTTAAAAACTTCACTATAGTCTTGGTATCACTACGCTTTGCCACTCAAAATCTTATYGTTGTCAAGGAATATGTGGCTGGCTTGCCCACCATGGGCTTGTTGCTATGGGGCAAATTGACAAGTGATCAATTCCTGCAAATGGCCTATTAATGTCCATGCATACTCCATTTTGCTGACTGCTGTAATTCAAGTCGGAGCCGAATTAGAAATTCTAATTTATTTCCTCGTAAAAATAATTAAAGGCGCTCAAGAAGCGCATGTGGTTAGTCCAAAGAAGTAAAATGAACAGTGTGAGGACAGGATAGATCACACTAAAGTCTTCCAAAGTCATTAATAATTCATGAGTTCAACCATGTGATCCGAACGGACTAAGGAAATGAACTAGTATACACTTATTTCAATAAAGTTAGTCACCCAAAACCTAGAAAGCTGAGATCACTAAGCATCATGGGAAACTTTTCATATCAAAATAGCATATATATGCTAAGTTTTTTAAATACAAACTGCAGCTCGATGATGCTCAGAAGAGGCGAGACTGTAACCGGTAAAAGATTCGCAAGTCCACTAACAGTTATCAAGCGGTTGACAGTGAAATATGAATCTACCCATAATCCTTGTCGGCCTCAGCTTCATAGCTTTTTAGGTGACTAACTTTATTGAAATAAGCGTATAAAATCAAGAAAGGATATTTCCCCTGAACTTTAAAAATTTGTCAAAAGTGAAATGTAAATCCACAGTACATACATGAGAAATTATGCGCATGATAATCAGAAGGGCCTAAGGCAGTTTTCATAACTTCCAATTTTTGTACATTTTTGATAGTTTTATTCAAAAATTTTGGTTTTATTAGTGTTGGAGGTTCTTAATGCCACATAAAAATTCAAACCATGTGTTTTATTAAAAACTGCTACATTTGAATAAACACTGCTGCTCGTTTTTATATATAGTACATAACTGTTTTTATTGATCTTTGTTGTTCAGTTCCAAATCTGCTGTATATATAGCAAGAACCTATCTATGTCCGAATGTGACCTGAATAGATGACAGGAAGCATGATTTGTGGCACGATTCCAACAATTAACCCCAGGGGGGAAGGCCTAGTGGCCCACAGCAGCAGGGCACAAATTGGTCAGCCGTTTTGTTTTTGCAATTTCGCTGTTAAAATCGGCCATGAAAACTGTTATTCCACTGTTTAGAGACGCATAATGAAAGCTCTAACAGTTAAATGAACTGATAAATTCAGTAAATTAAGAACTTACTGCATAAAATGCGAAAAATGATTCGCCCTGCCAGGGGAGGGGAAGTGGTTCTATCGACGGACTAACCACAAAAAGTGACAACGATCTTCAAGAATTCTTATTGTAGTGACCTGCAGTTTATTGTGACGAACTACACATTAGTTTGTTCCAACTTCTAAAAGCAGTATTTTCTGTAAAACAGCACTTCAAAAGTAAAAAATTATGCTTTTGTTCGATACATAAACAACAAGGCTCATTCTGATTTCGTTCAGGAGTTTTGTACTATATTTGTGCAGTTTCTTCAAGCCAATTCAGAAGTTATATCAAATTATTTTGGCTCTAAAGACTACTGCAAATAAACATGAAGTACAGAGAAGTTTATTCAGGCTTTTAATATACCGTAAATCAGCTATTAGACACCCAGGGCGTCTATTACAATTTCGTAATGAAAGGGGGGCGTTTAATAGATAAGAGACGTTTATTAGAGAGGGGCGTTTATTTCAATCTTTAAAGACTGAAAATAACAACGCAGAAATATGCCCAGAATGTAAGAACAGCAACGAGAAATGTTCAATAACAGATCACAGTCAAGGAGTTAAATTGATTCAATGTCAACATCGGAATTGTCCTGGTCAATCAAGCTTTCATTCTCTTCATTTGCTTCATCAATGTCTGAGTCTAATGTCACTAAAAGGGGGTGGGTGTTCGTGTTCGTCTAACACAGAAAGCTGCATCTTGAGTTGCCCCAATCCTCAATTGTTCCTGGGTAGTATTATGCAAAGACAAATTGATGAAAGGATGCTGACATTCTTAGCAGGGAGATAAAAGCTATCAAAGAGCGATACCTGTACTTTGAGCTCGAAATAGAACAAGATAAGATTAGAAAGCCATTATTGATTAAGCAAGAAACTGAATAAATTAATGTTAATTTATCGTTTGCCTTCCTATTGCTTGTACTCGACTAACCTTTGGTGGGGGGGGGGGCGTCTATTAGAGAGGGGCGTTTAATAAATATATGAACGATTAGGGGGGGCGTCTATTAGATACAGGACGTTTATTAGAGAGGTCATTTATGGTATATATCTTTTTGAACTCCAATTTTTAGAATGTGTCCATTCAGATTTAGAAATATCAGTGAACATAAAACTATGAAATTTAAAGCAATTGCAAGAAAAATCTTTGATTTACTATGGTCTTAAATGAAGCATTTCGTTATATAAATACCGAGTTAGAAAATTCTCATGAGACTACTTTGCAAAGCGCCAAAGCGTGTGATGCCAGACATGACTTGATTACTTATGCTAAAAATCTGACTGGACTTTATGACGGAACTGGAATTAGGACTTTAACCGATTCTTATTGATACTTTCATATTTTACTGGGATATTTTACCAATTAGCTCCTACTACAATCAAATGGTAAACAGGTAAGATTTCCCTTTTGGGGGGCTGGGAAAATGGCATTTTATGCACTGGTAATCACAAAAAAAAAACACACATTGAAATGGGAATGAGATCGATTCAAGCAAAATATAATTTGAGATCATGGCACTTTAGGAGAATTCAGACTGCAAAATGATGTTAAGACGCACTCCCTCGGGACACTGTCCAGTTCCACACAACCCACTCTACCCTGTTACCAGGGTTAAGTCCCAGTCCTTTCTGGTACTTGCAAGGACCCCAGGTAACCCGGTTTACCCTAGTTATATAATTATCCATAAAATCAAGTTAGCAAGCTTTTTATTATAAACTAATAAACTAATAGCTTAAATACATATAGTAATGATATTTTCACATTTAACATGTTCTTTTCATAATTTATGCGAAAATATCAGTTTTTTGAAAAGGAGAAATATAGGTATTTTATGGATAAATATATGATAAAATTTTTTATTTTTTATTTTTAGACAGCCGCTTACTCATCAACCAAATGGAACACACAATTTTTAGGATACAGGATAAGCATTTGCATGACGGGAAAGAACTGTTGGCATATGTCTAAACAAGAATTGTTTAGGTATTTTAAAAGGTTTTGTGGACACAAACAACACTAAATATCTTAACTATTAAATCTACCTATCACTGTTTGCCCCCTTCAATACATCCTCCATAATCAATGATTCATTGACATTTCCTATTCATAACTTACCATTTTACTGGTAAATTTCCAAACAAACTGCTAAGCATACATACACAAAATATCCTAGTATGTTGTTTTGTTAGTAAATACTTACACTAACAACACCTTGCAGTGCTTCATCTTCAGCTTGCTGTTCTGCAGATGTGGTCAATACATCATCATATAGATCTACACCTCCACTATCAAGCTGATAAATCACAAGTATAAAACAAATTTACAAACACTTAAGGCACAAATACTACAGAATCCACCATAGTGTGGAAGTTTTGGGTAAAATATGCCATGGTCTCACCCACAAATATCAACATACTTCCACTGCATTCCTAAAGCCCAACGTAGTCAATTGATAAAAATCGATAAAACACTATCATTCGATATCCTTGATTGATTGATATTGATTGGTATTGACCAATCGCTAAAAATCAACATCACACTTTTTATTTCTATTGATTTTTATTGACTTCCTTGATTTATGTATTTTCAACTGATAAATTAATAATAGACGACTTGCACTAAGAGATCACGTGATCAAATCGGCCATTGTGGCTGGCATTCTACAGGATTTTAGCTATGCGAGAATGTAAAAAAAGATGGCGGATTCGGGTAGTTTTTTTGGTGACGAAAGGTAAGTTAGCACACTAAATAACTATAAAAATCCCCTTTTCTCGCAAGAAATATATTCTTAGTAGATATCTGAAGTGGATTTTTGCTATTAACTAGCCAAGAAGAGAAAAAAATATGGTATTTTTGCGATAGGATGTGAAGACCTACGAAGTGTTTAGTCTCGTTTTGCTGGCTTCATGACCTCAAAACATGCAATATTTTTCCTCTTCCTGGCGAATGAATAGCAAAATCCTACTTAAGATATCAATTAAAAGTATATTTCTTGCAAGAAAATGCAGTTTTCAAGAATGAAGTTGAAATATACTTTAAAAGTTTTGACAAGAAGTCGTTGTTTTAAGGTCATGAAGCCGGCAAAACAAGACTAAGCACTTCATAGGTTTTCACATCCTATCGCAAAAAATACCTTTTGATTTCTCTTCTTGGCTAGTTTATAGCAGAAATCTACTTTAGATATCTACTAAAAATATATTTCTTGCAAGAAAAGGGGATTTTTATAGTTATTTAGTGCGCTAACTTACCTTTTGTCACCAAAAAAACAACCAGAATCCGCCATCTTTTTTTACATTCTCGCATAGCTAAAATTCTGTAAAATGCCAGCCACAATGGCGGATTTGATCACGTGACCTCGTCTATTCAGTTGGACAGCTAAATCATATTGAGATCACAACACATAAATGCTCGAATGAAACGGTTAATTAATTTATTTTTTAAGGCATGATTGCTTATGTTTGAGTTGACACTTGCTGGCATCAACCAGGTTTGTAGGTCTTGCTCTTTTATCGAACTAAGGAATCTTAGATTCATCAGGTTTCAAATCAATATCAATAAACATTTTGAYATTWAAAAAAAAAAAAAATCAGGTTTCAAAACCCAACGACACTATGTTTGACAGAGGTATTCAGACACAAGCAAGTGGGAAGGTGGTGGGGGAGAACGTGTGTGAAAAATGACCAAAGAAAAATGATAAAAAAGAAAAGACATAGATAAATAAAATAAACAAACATCAAGGCAGTGGGCGATTGAAATAATTGAGTGTATGAGACTTATGCGAGTATAATATGGATAGGTATCGTAGATAGGTAGCAAAGGTAAGCAAATTGTAAAGTACATCGTACAATGCATATTGAATTGAGAATAAAAGCATTTCGAGTAAAGGCAATGTTACGAAACATGAGATCACGTGTCTCGGCTGTGTGGTGGGGATCATAATATAGAGATTACTTCATGGAAAGCGTGCACGTACAGGATTTTCACACGAGTTGGTAAAGTATCTGAAGCGAACGAGTGAGATTTCAGATACAAAACCAACGAGTGGGAAAATCCCGTATGAAGYGCTTTCCATGCTGTAATTTATTTATTTTATACATACTGAGATTTTGTTGTTTTTATTCATTCACTTTTAATGCATTCTCTAAAAAAAAAAACTCCTGTATTTTAAAATTCCCTTCAAAAAGCTAAAAGCTCCAAAGCTAAATGCAACAAGTTTTGACACGGGAAAACGTGTCAAATGTGCTGTGCACATTGGATACTTTGAATAGAGTACAAGACTATTTGGGATTTAGTCATTGTAAGACAGAAGAAAGTCCGTGGATTCGGTTTGAATATTTTTTTACGGTCAAATTGAACCAACATAAACGAGTCTTGTTCACAAACCCCAAAGCAAGCCTCCGTCTCTCTGAGAACCAGTGTTATGGTGGCTCCATCGGCTTAAAAACACCACACAAAACATTATTGAACAGAAGATTCTCCATCTACAGAAAAAGTTTGGTCTCAAAAATTTACCTCAGAATACCCTGCGAGCAGAGTCTCCTTTACCTTCCCCCGAGTGAGAGAAAGGAAAGAAGACTCTTTCCTTTCTCTCACTCGGGGGAAGGTAAAGGAGACTTTGCTCGCAGGGTAACCTCAGAA